CCGGTATGTGTTCCCTCACCTCCCGACCTACTGAGCCGACCTGTGACAGTCTCATTGTCACAGGTCGGCTCGAACTATGAGGTGAGTGAAAAGCACTCCCCTCATAGTTCTCCTTTTTTAAATAGTGTCTTTCCGCCCATTCAGGGAATAGTGATAGTGCTTCCTGGGCTCCTGATCCAAGCTATGCTCACCCATCTGGGCTGCCTCCCCGCTCCCTACCTTAATGGGTAGGGGATGTTGTCTCTTGTCTCTAGACCTGTGCCAATCTAATGCTGCCCATAGATACCGTAAGGCAGCTGGATCTGCAGATACGATCCGACCCAATTATCTTGAACTCCGTAGAGTCCTCCAAAGCTGACAAGGTTCTCAGGTGATGCAGCAAATGTTTCAGTGCAAAGGGGGAAGAAGGTTCTATCAACTTCTCTGTCTGATGTTCTGCCATCTAAGAATAGTTGGTGTGGTGTCTGTGGTTGTCTGCCATCTACCACAAACATGAGATCTTCACAGAGAGACCTGTCTGCCCAACACATTGACACGAACCCTTCAAAATGCTAACTACTTTCCAGGTGTCCTAAAAGAAGAGGTGCCCAAATATACATGTATTCATCACCTGGGGAGGGAACCAGCGTGTCTCCGAAATCTCGCGCTACAATGTCCTTTTTTTTTTTATTCTTTTGGGATCCTACTTTTGCGATCATGACCTCCAGTGAAACGTCGAGCTCTAATTTTGGTGCGCCGGCTTTTTTGTGACTTTTATTAGTGTCTATGTCCCCATTAGAGATTCACCCTTCCAATATGGCCTTGTGACCATTTTCTCTGGGATTGACGGTTCATGGAAATCCAAAATTGTGAGTTGCCACCTAAACAAGTTAGAGGGGGAAACCATAATTCCGTTGACAACCAAGAGGAGATTTCCTCAGGACACGAGGTAAAGGGAAATTTCCTCAATGGGACACAGATGGCATAGATTGGTTTTTTAACCCATCCCCTATGCTATCCAAAACTGAAACAAAGTTTTGAGTTTAGACTTTAACGATATCCATGCCTAATAGGATGATCATTTTCCAATCTGTTCGAAGACTGTCAGATCAGGAGACCATCCTGGTTCTGTAGGCACCTTTCTACTGTGCAGACACCACCATGCCAACCAATCTCTGATCATACCAGGAGAGCACCATTATTCTGTAGGCCACCTTCCTCCTGTACAGACACCACCAGGCTGACCAGTCTCTGAGAAGATGTGGGGACCATCCTGGGTCTGTAGAGACCTGCCACCTGAGCAGTTGCACCCTGGCCGGCCAGGCCAATCTCTGATCGGATCAGGCCCCATGTTAAGTCTGGAGGCACTTCCCAGCTGTGCAGGCACTCCCTGGCTAACCAATCTCCAGTCAGACCTGGGGACCATTCTAGGTCTGTAGCCCACCTGTGCAGGCACTCCCTGGCTAACCAATCTCCAGTCAGACCTGGGGACCATTCTAGGTCTGTAGCCCACCTGTGCAGGCACTCCCTGGCTAACCAATCTCCAGTCAGACCTGGGGACCATTCTAGGTCTGTAGCCCACCTGTGCAGGCACCCCCTGGCTGACCAATGTCCAAATAGACCCAGGGACCATCCTAGGTCTATAGGCCACCTCCAACCTGTGCAGGCACGCCCAGGTGGAACAGTCTCTGGTCAGACCTGGGAACCATCCTCGGTCTATTTGTACTCCCCAGGCCGGTCTCTGGGGGTGAATCTGTTAGCCAATGTGGATGTCGTTTTTGTTTTCTCCAATGATTTGCTGGCACTAGAGGGGTCAACACAGGCCATAAACATGCATGCCTGGCCAGTACCATTGTACATGCCTGTGCTGCAGAATGGTCTATGGTGGTCGGAACTTACCATTGTCATAAAAGTGCATCTTTACACTCCTGCAATGAATACAAATCTTGTTCATTCTCTTTTTTTTTTTCTCCCCAGTGATGCATTTGGAGGGCTCCTTCCTGCTGTTTGAAAATATTTTTAAACTGGTCGGATTTTTCTGCGTCAGCCGGTAAGTAAAGTCCAAAATCAGGGCTGTGCTGTGATTGGTCCATGAATACTCTGACGTGACCAGAGATCTGTCTGCTGGCCATAGCAGCCAGTCCGCTTCTCCCACACCGCACTGGGAGCAGAAATGTTTCTTCAGATTGTGATGTAGAATGTTTTTATGTGATTATTTAT